CATTCCATTGCTCCTGTAATTTGTACTTAAACTCACCTGTATTAATTATCAGATCTTAATGTTCCTGTGTCCACTGTGCACAACATTGTCAAGATGATTACAGCCCATGGCACTGTAGCTAATCTTCCTGGATGCAGACAAAATTGAAAAATTTATCAAAAATTGCAACAAAGGATTGTTCGAACGGTGGATAAAGAACCTCAATCAACTTTCAGACAAATTCAAACTCACACTATATGTCACCATCTGGATGAAAAGGGACGCCATGGTAGGAGACCCAGGAGGACCCCACTGTTGAAACAGAAACATAAAAAAGTCAGTTTGGAGTTTGCCAAAGCTTACCTGAGGAAGCCAAAATCCTTTTGGGAGAATGTGTTGTGGACAGACGAAACAAAATGACAGGTTTTTGGTAAATCCCATCATTCTACTGTTTTCAGAAAAAGCAATGAGGTCTTTAAAGAAAATAATCCAGTCCCTCCAGTCACACATGGTGGGGGGTCACTGATGTTTTGGGGTTGCTTTGCTGCTTCAGGCACTGGATGTCTTGACCGTGTGCATGGCTATGAAATCTGATGACTACCAAAGAATTCAGGGGTGCAATGTAGGGCCCAGTATCAGAAAGTTGGGTCCCTCTCAATCAGAGGTCATGGGTCTTCCAGCAGGACAATGACCCAAAGCACACGTCAAAAGCTCCCAGAAATGGTTTCAGACAAAGCGCTGGAGAGGACTTGGCAGGGATCCCCTCGATCCCCGCCGCGTTGGTCCCGGCGCAGGCGCAGTATGCCGCCCGGCGCAGGGACTCGAGCACTGGTTCCGGGCCGGCCGCGGCGTTCGAGTTCGCGCATGCGCAGTAGAAGCCGCGGCCGCCCGCTGGGCACCAATGGCAGCGCAGGGCGGGATATTTAAACGACCCTGAGCTGTCATTCAGTGCCTTCTGGTCTTTCCTGCATTCTGAATCCTGTGAACCTGTACCCTGTAAGTTATTGACCCGGATTGTACCTGACCTTGCTGTTTTCGCCTGTTCTGACCCTTGCTTTGCCTGACCTCTCTCCTGAATGCCCCCTATTGGATTTGACCTGCTGTTGCTGACCTGGCGTGTGACCCGACCATTCTATGCCCGCTGCCTTGTACCCTGCCGCCCTCTCTGTTGCCGACCCGGCCCGTCTGACCCTGCTCATCCATCCATCCATCCCGTGCAGTGGGGTCTTCTGACCTCCTCACATCAGACTCTTCCCCGTGGGAGCCCCTTGCGCATACTACTACCACTGACGGACGCACCCGGTAGTCACGACCTGGTCTCAGGGAGCTCCAAGTCCATCCCCACCATCAGGGGCCCTGGTGAACAAGCACCCTGGGACTTAGACTCCGTGCGCTGGGGACGCCTATTCAGTGGAGTGCTAGTAGTACCGCCGGGCGGTCCCTTACAGGACTGAACTGGCCAGCAATGAGTCCAGATCTCAGTCCCATAGAGCTCCTGTGGAGAGATCTCAGAACAGGTTGGGAAAAGGAACCCTTCCAATTTGAGAGACCTGGAGCAGTTGGCGAAAGAGAAGGGGTCCAAAATTCCAGTAGAGAGGTGGAAGAAACTCAGTGATGGTTACAAGAAGCCATTGATTTCAGTTAATTTTTCCAAGGGGTGTGCTACCAAATGTTAAATTGAGGATGGCAATTTTTTTTGTCCAGTCCATTTTTGGGGTTTAACAGATGTGGCTTTTTGTTTCTCCACTTTTTTGTGACATCCCAATTCAGCAAAGACACCTCCCCATCCAGCAAAGAGACATTCCATCCAGCAAAGAGATACCCCAATCCAGCAAAAATACATCCTACCTCTCTGCTGGATGGGGATGTCTCCTTGCTGGATGGAGATGTCTCTTTGCTGGGTTGGGATGCCTCTTTGTTATATGGGGATGTCTCATTGCTGGATTGGGCTGTCTCTTTGCTGGATTTGGATGTCTTTTTGTTGGAGTGGAATGTCTATTTGCTATATGGGAATGTCTATGTCTCTTTGCTGGATTGGGCTGTCTGTTTGCTAGATTGGGCTGTCTCATTGCTATATGGGGATATATATTTGCTGCATTGTGCTATCTCTTTGCTACATGTAGATGTCTCTTTGCTGGATCAGGCTTTCTCTTTGCTGGATGGGGTTGTTTCTTTGCTGAATTGGGCTATCTTTTTTTTTTTTTTTGCTATATGGGGATGTCTCTTTGATGGATGGGGATGCCCCTTTGGTGGATTGAGCTGTCTCTGCTATATGGGGATGTCTCTTTGTCTCTTTGCTGGATTGGGCTGTCTCTTTGCTATATGGGGATTTCTCTTTGCTTGATTGGGCTGTCTCTTTGCTGAATATATAAGGGGCACTGTGATTATTAGAGAGATAAGGGGGGGGGGGTGACTGCAAGAGGCACTGTGATGGGGGGATGTGATTTCTAGGGGCACTGTAATGCAAAGGGACACTGTGATAAGAAGGGGACTGCACTGTAAAGGGCACTGTAATCAATACAGTGCTGTCTGTGAATATTCTGTCACCAACCACCCCTGTGACCCCCCCCCCCCCCCCCCCCCCCCCCCGAAACGTTTTCATTGACAATTTCACTTCTATTGATGGTTACCTTGTTTATGACTTGGTGTAGAATTCTGTATCCCTTTTGAGATGTATTGTGCCCCACAAGTACACCTTTCTTTGGCATCTAATTTTGTATGTTTTTCTTTTGGGATGTCCTTTGCTTCCAAAAAATTTTAGATGGTTCAGATTCAGGGCTTTTTCATTCCACAGTTCATATGGAGTTTTCTCCTGGTAGTCGATTTTGGAGATAGCATGCAGTGAAAATTGCCTCCCCCCAGTAAGCGGTTGACATATCTGCATGGCCAGGGGCGGACTGACAACTTATGGGGCCCCCGGGCAATAGGGGATCATGGGGCCCCTGTGTCCTTGCCCACACTCAAAAAAGCCTATAAACAAGGTATCAGGGGCATTTCATGGGGCCCCCTACTGACCCCGGGCCCTCGGGCAGTGCCCGAGTGCTCGAATGGTCAGTCCGCCCCTGTGCATGGCTCTTCTACTCTCACATAGAGTATGGTTCATTCTTTCTGGTAAACCTCTAAGTAATAGTGCTGCAACATGAAAATCTTTTATTTCTTCTCCTATACCTCTCAGGCATTCAACCATTTCCAAGATGTGTTATCTCCATCCTGCATACAATCATCTCCATGTCATCTCTATCCTCCGCACAGTCATCAACCATGTCATTTCCATCCTGCACACAACTATTCCTGTCATTTATATCCTGCACACAATCATCTGTGTGTCATCTCCATTCTCCGCACAGTCATCCACCATGTCATCTCCATCCTGCACGCAGTCATCTCCATGTCATCTCCATCCTGCACACACAGTCATCTCTATCCTGTCATCTCCATCCTGCACCTTGTAAGCCATGTCGGACTATTCAACCACACCTCTTTTACGCCACGCAAATATGTAGCCTAATTTAAAACACGCCCCCTTTTTATGAAGGCGTGCTGCGCACAACACATTTTATTTTTCTTACTTCTTGCAGAAGCATGCCCCCAACCAATGAATGCCCCGCCCCTAAATAAAGTGATGCTTTGCCTAAGTGGCTTTCTGAACACCAGAACAGAAGGTGACCCTAAAAACTGAAATGTTGGCAACTATGATCGATGTGCCGCAGGATTGGACAATGTCATCTGGAGACAGAGCCATCTCCTGCAAATTTCAGCCAATCCGGGAAGAAGAGTTATCCAGTCAATGAGGTGCCGCGCAAACCGTGCTCCTCAGTTTTTTTTGGAGGGGGGGGGGTGCAAGTAGCTAGTCTTGCTTAGGGTGCCGAATAGTCTAGCATGGCCCTGCCTATAGCACGATGACGTCCAGATGGGACTTTTGTTAATCTGGGTGGACATCATATAACGTCCTCCCGGATGGCGTCACACGCACGCCGCGCTCCTCACTAAATAAAAGTTTTTTACAGTGTTAAACCATTCATCCGATTTCTAAATTGTGTTCGTACATTTCAAAAACCAATAAAAAGGAGTAGTAGTGATAAAAAGCACTTGTGGGTTCAACCAATCATTTCTTGTGTATTAAGTTTCCTTCTAAGGAGGCGTGGCAGGGGTGTGTCCTAGAACTACATACGTTTGCTTTTAGGTGTCCCTCATTCCCTTCTCAGAAAGTTGGGAAACATTCTATTGTGTTGCTAGCTGTGATTGGTCACAGTGATCACACGTGGCCAATCGCAGTTAATCACAAAACAAACAAAAAAAGAATGAATTGATTGATTTTATTCAGTAAAATGCTTTCTTACAGCAATTAAATTAATCGCTATATTGAATCATATTGTGCAAAAAAAAAAATACTGATCACTTTCCCAGAGTAGTACAGTGTTACCATGGTAACAGTATATTGCTCTGGTCACAGTGTGTACAAAAAAAATGTGAAAAAAAAAATGAAAAAAAAATGAAAAAAACTAATTTTTTTTTTTTGGTACTGTCACTAGTCAGTGTCCCTGATCACCACCACCTCAGTTATATGATGGCACTGTACTGCACTGGTGACAGTATGTTAACCTCTTGGCGCTGGCCACACGCAAATATGCGGCCTCCCGGCGTCTGGGCCTTGACGCCAAGTGGCCGCACATTTTCGTGCAATTAAGAAGAAATATATGGTGAGAGCGCGTGCCCTGCGCACTCCCAGCACATGTCCGGTACTCACGGAAAGGTCCCGATCTCCTCTTTCGATCAGGACCTTTCCCAATCATGTGACCGCCGTGACGGCATGTGACATGACCCTAAACCCCGCCCCCGCCTCCCTTAAAGGGCCGGGAGGCGCTGGAGCCAAGGGGTTAAAAATTATTATTTTTTTTTTTTTCTTCATTTTCCAAAAAAATTTGTGACAAAAAATGATAACTTCATAAAAACTCACCACACCTCTTGCTAAATACCTTGGACTTTCTACTTTCTAATTTGGGGGTAATTTGGGGGGTATTTGTACTATCCTGGCATTTTTGGACCTCAAGAAATGAGATAGGCTATCAGTACATCATGTTATGGCATCTCTCGGCATCATTTTTTGTTATTATATTCATCTGATCCCTGCTAAATGGGATCCGCTGTCACTCCCCCACCCCCTGTTCTATGTCCGCAGTCTCTGGTCATCTCCTGTACTGTCCGCAGTCTCTGGTCATCTCCTGTACTATGTCCGCAGTCTCTTGTCATCTCCTGTACTGTGTCCGCAGTCTCTTGTCATCTCCTGTACTATGTCCGCAGTCTCTGGTCATCTCCTGTACTGTGTCCGCAGTCTCTGGTCATCTCCTGTACTATGTCCGCAGTCTCTGGTCATCTCCTGTACTGTGTCCGCAGTCTCTGTTCATCTCCTGTACTGTGTCCGCAGTCTCTGGTCATCTCCTGTACTGTGTCCGCAGTCTCTGGTCATCTCCTGTACTGTGTCCGCAGTCTCTGGTCATCTCCTGTGCGGTGTCCGCAGTCTCTTGTCATCTCCTGTACTATGTCTGCAGTCTCTGGTCATCTCCTGTACTATGTCCGCAGTCTCTGGTCATCTCCTGTACTGTGTCTGCAGTCTCTGGTCATCTCCTGTACTATGTCTGCAGTCTCTGGTCATCTCCTGTAGTATGTCCGCAGTATCTGATCATCTTCTGTATTGTGTCTGCAGTCTCTGGTCATCTCCTGTACTATGTCCGCAGTCTCTGGTCATCTCCTGTATTATGTCCGCAGTCTCTGGTCATCTCCTGTACTATGTCCGCAGTCTCTGGTCATCTCCTGTACTATGTCCGCAGTCTCTGGTCATTTCCTGTACTATGTCCGCAGTCTCTGGTCATCTCCTGTACTGTGTCCGCAGTCTCTGGTCATCTCCTGTACTATGTCCGCAGTCTCTGGTCATCTCCTGTACTATGTCCGCAGTCTCTGGTCATCTCCTGTACTATGTCTGCAGTCTCTGATCATCTCCTGCACTGTGTCCGTAGTCTCTGGTCATCTCCTGTACTGTGTCCGCAGTCTCTGGTCATCTCCTGTACTATGTCCACAGTCTCTAGTCATCTCCTGTACTGTCTGCAGTCTCTGGTCATCTCCTGTACTATATCCGCAGTCTCTGGTCATCTCCTGTACTGTGTCCGCAGTCTCTGGTCATCTCCTGTACTGTGTCCGCAGTCTCAGGTCATCTCCTGTACTACGTCCGCAGTCTCTGGTCATCTCCTGTACTATGTCTGCAATCTCTGGTCATCTCCTGTACTATGTCTGCAGTCTCTGGTCATCTCCTGTACTATGTCCGCAGTCTCTGGTCATCTCCTGTACTATGTCCACAGTCTCTGGTCATCCCTGTACTATGTCCGCAGTCTCTGGTCATCTCCTGTACTATGTCCGCAATCTCTGGTCATCTCCTGTACTATGTCTGCAGTCTCTGGTCATCCCCTGTACTATGTCTGCAGTCTCTGGTCATCCCCTGTACTATGTCTGCAGTCCATTTGTTCAGAATATTTTTTTTTTGTTTTCCTCCTCTAAAACCTAGGTGCGTCTTATGGAGCGAAAAATGCGGTAATCCATATAACACTCACACAGTTGCTTTGCATTGGGAAAACGGTGTTAAAACATTCAGCAATATCATCTACCGTACCAAGCAGAAGTCTGCCAAGTGGGTACAGATAGTGCTCATATAACAGCATTAGGCAAGGGATTCTAATTAAATCTGTGAAATTGCTAGGCTATAAAACCTCTCTGAGAATCATGAACAAGCTATAACTGACCAATATAAAACCATTTAGAGGGAAGGTGCATTGGAGTCCCGGTATGATAATGCTGCATTAATACCAAGCGTTTGCCCAATGTGTCTCTCTACATCACAATTAATTTGATGCAACACTATGCTACAACATACATCAGGCAATTTGGTTACATTAGAGGAGAATTGAACAAGTATCTACCTGAATGTATAAGTACATCACAATTATTTGATGTAACTCTTGCCTGTGCTATAGAGTATGTAGCCAAGTACTTAGTGGGCCAGAGAACAACCATGAGGACACTGAGCTGCAGCTACTATTGTGCCCACACATGACTCCTTTTTTTAATTAAAATATTTTATTGTATTCAAATCACCATATTAAATGTACAAAAGCTAATAAAACAAACAATATACATTACACTTTTCTGTCATGACACTCCCTAGAAATAACCTTAATCTCGGTCACCTTTTACCCCTCACCTTACCTACCCCCCCCCCCACCCTTTGATTATGCATTTTTAACTTCATTCTAGAAATCCTGAACCTTAGCTATTACTGGTATTATACTGTATTATATTTATCCCCTTCCCCTTCTTTTCCCTATTTCACATATTCTAGGTATACCTCTGAATTTTTAAACTGTACCCACTTTTCCCAACTTGTACGAAATACCTCCATTTTATCTTCCTCCATATGATAAAGTTCCTCCATTCTATATATCTTCTCCACTCTTTCTACCCAATCCTTTATTTTCGGTGACTGTTGTTTCTTCCAAAACTTGGATATCAGTCCCTTCACTGCATTTAAATAATACAATAATACAGTTTTTTATTTTTTAAACGAAAACTCAGTACCAAAAAGAAGGCAAGTCTCGGGGTCCTTAGGAATATTTACCTCTGTTATTTCCTGAATTATACTCACTATGCCCTCCCAGTACTCTTAAATTTTGTGACACTCCCACCCAGGGGCGTACTGACAACATATAGGGCCCCTGGGCAATAGGAGATCATGGAGCCCCTGTGTCCTTTCCCAAACTCAAAAAAGCCTATGAAAAAGGTACCAGGGGCATCTCATGGGGCCCCCTACTGACCCCGGCCCTCGGGCAGTGCCCGAGTTTCCAAATGGTCAGACCGCCCCTGCTCCCACCATAAGTTTATCACTGTACCTCTCTCTCCACATCCCCGCCAACATAAAGGTGAGTTGTCTCCACTTGACTCCTAAGTGGATAAATCCAAGGCATTCTTACCTCCAGTCACCAGGGGGAGCTGGTGGTGTTGACCAAATCTATAGATTATGAAATATAATATTTCTCTGATATGATTTGGTAAATGAAGAGTTCTTACCCAGAAGTGAAAGGTTTAACACAACAACCAACATTTATTGGTGAATAGGATGGAGGTCTAAACTAACACAAACAATCTATCTAGTTACATAAAAGAAACAGTATTAAGAAAGCTCAAACTCAATACAAAATACAAACAGTGAGGCAGAAAAGACATAAGACAAACATTTGAATACAAGTGCAAGGGATATATTCCATAATTACCATGGAACAGGACTTAAAAGTTCCCTTCCCTGCCTCTGGTGTTCCAAGGAGAACCTCTCTCTCTCTCTCCATTCCATAGTTATAGGCCTCTCTTCCATTAATTTGCATAGCGTATCTCTGATTGGTTGGCCAGTCTATTACCTTTCATAATTGGCTAACGTCCAATCCCCTGTATTTCGCATGCACCAACCCCCTTTAAGGCAAAACTTGGCACACCCTTTATGGAATTTAAGCAAGCCACTTCATGACCTTTTGCTGGGAAGTATTCATGAATGGCTGGCCACCTTCATTGCATATCTAAATGAGCGATCCTTTGAAGAGCATATTTGTGAAGCCAACAGGTTTTGTCCCATTGTTAGATAAACAAACTCCGGCACCAAACTGTCTGAAAGAGGATTCTCAGCAAAGATGTCTGTTATACAGTAAAGAAGGTGTAATTAATAGAATATTCCCTTTGGCAACTATGGTGTCTATAGAAGAGGAATTTATGGGAAGACCTATTGCACATCCACACTGATAAAGCTCTAACTGAAATATATTCATAATACAATATTATTTACAGTGTTTAATGAAGATTTCACATATACTCATTATCTACTTCCTCAAACTCAATCTTTCCAAAACTGAGATCTTAGTATTCCCTCAGCCCGTGCCCCCTCCCCTGACTTCACCATTAAGATCAATAACACAATCATCAGTCCCTCCCCTCATGCCAGGGTACTAGGTGTAATCCTAGACTCCCATCTGTCCTTTCACCCCCAAATCCAATCGCTGTCCAAATCTTGTAGACTTCACCTCCACAACATCTCCAAGATACGCCCGTTCCTTACCTCGGAACCACTAAGCAACTTATTCACTCCCTTGTTATATCTCGCCTTGACTATTGTAACTCCCTCCTCATTGGCCTACCTCATCTCAGGCTATCCCCTCTTCAGTCTATCATGAATGCTGCTGCCAGACTCATCCACCTTACTAACCGTTCTGTATCTGCCACCCGTCTCTGCCAATCTCTTCACTGGTCTCCACTCAGTGTCCTCCACCCCTCTCTGCCAATCCCTCCACTGGCCTCCACTCAGTGTCCTCCACCCCTCTCTGCCACTCCCTCCACTGACCTCCACTCAGTGTCCTCCACCCCTCTCTTCCAATCCCTCCACTGACCTCCACTCAGTGTCCTCCACCCCTCTCTGCCAATCCCTCCACTGACCTCCACTCAGTGTCCTCCACCTCTCTCTGCCAATACCTCCACTGGCCTCCATGTAGTGTCCTCCACCCCTCTCTGCCAATCCCTCCACTGGCTTCCCATTGCCCAACGGATAAAATTCAAAACAATAACATATAAAGCCATTTATAACTCTGCCCCAAATTACATCACCAATCTTGTCTCTAAATATCACTCAAACCGTACTCTCCGCTCTTCGCAAGACCGCCTGCTCTCTAGCTCCCTTGTCTCCTCCTCCCATGCTCGTCTCCAGGACTTTTCCAGAGCTTCCCCCATCCTCTGGAACTCTCTACCTCAATCTATCAGACTATCACCTACTCTGCTCACTTTTAGGTGATCTCTGAAAACCCATCTCTTCAGGGAAGCCTATCCTGCCCTCAGCTAATAATGGAATCTTCTACTCTTCTTACCAGTCCATCCCCCACAGTTACTACCTTTTGTACCACTAGTCCCTCCCTCCTAGATTGTAAGCTCCAAGGATCAGGGCCCTCCTTTCCCTCTTGTATTGAAATATATTGTTGCTGTATTGTCTTCTGTTATATTGTAAAGCACTGAGCAAACTGTTGGTGCTATATAAATCCTGTATTATAATAATAATAATAACAGTGGGACTTGAGGAACTGAAAGGACTCTTGTGCAGACTGTGCTGAATTGTGGACAATGTAGTCCATGGGAAGGACTTCCTGCCCAGGACCCCTGTTGAACAAATGGGGCCCGGGGAGGTTTTTTTAAAAAATTGCTGCAGAGGGAGGTCC